TATATTCTCATAGTAATCATCTAAATAATTTAAAATTTATAATCTATCCAGGATTAAAGCTTTAAAAATATCAAATGCCAAATATACTACACATATTAAAATTTATTTGCACATATATGTGATATATGAGATGTCATTAAATGCCAAATGTAGTGGACCAGAAAGTATAAGAAAATTAGCATTACATAGAATACCAACTGCTTGCCAAATAGATAAAAAATGATTAGGAAATAAGGGCTATTAATATATAGTGAATTTTTGACATACCAAACTAACCTTTCCTATTTGTTTTAGATGAATAATACCTTTTAAACAAAAAATATTGGTCACTTGAACAATACTTATATCCGACTAAATTGAAATTTAAATTTTATGCCATTCATTTACATACTTGCCAGTGTTATAAAAGCAATAGATTTCAATTAGTCAGCATATGCATTTTCAACAATGTACCAGGATTCTTTGAAATAAGTAAAACATGAACATAATTTGATTCCTTCCTTCCTAGAGATTCTGTGAGCACAGAAACCTAGGCAAATAACTGCAAAATATAGGTACTAGAAATCACAGAATCAGGTGCATATTAAAGAATGCAAATAGAAGTTTGATTTAGTTTGTAAACTCATTCAAAAGAAGCAGAAATAGTTAGCTAACTTCAGATTTTATAAACTTGCTTCTTACATGCAAGTGGTTTCTTTTCTGTCCAATCTAATTTTATATCTTGATTCTCATACATTTGGGGTTACCTGAAAATGAATCTTCTTTCTACAAGCACCGAATTTGTGTTCTTATCTTATCATGATGCTCACTGAGAAGATTTTAATAGTTACATATGAAAACACAACATGATCTAAAACATAAAATGTTAAAACATAAAAATTTAAAGGTATGAAGTTCTTTATTATCACAGAACTAGATTTAAATTGTAGATGAGGCATTTGTTTAGCAAATTTTTTGTATCTTTAAGTGCACCCAAAATGGCAATCAATTTTTAAAAATATAAGAAGCACTGAAGAATAATTAACATAAGCCTTTCAAGACCCATACTTGGGAATATCTAAAAGTCTGCAGAAAGGTCCAGGGAATGCTGCACACGTTTACTCCCAGCTGTAAGGAGGCAGACATAGGCAGATCTTTGTGAGTTCAAGATCAGCCTGGTCTCCACAGAGTTCCAGGTTAGTCAGGGGTATATGAGACTCTGGTTTTGGTTTTGGGTTTTGGTTTGTTTTTAAGTCTATAAAAACAGCACTATCACTGGGTATATTTTGCCATGAGAATATCACCTTTGGGCAGAAAAGTCTGGAATGCTATGGGTCATAAATAGTGCCTTAGACTCACAGCTATGCATGGAAAAATGCGTACCTCTCAGGCTTCATGTAATCTCATTGTTTTCTTTGCCTGACTTTGGGAAGTAAAACTGCTTCACTGTACTGGAGCCATATTCTCCTAAAACCTTCTTAGTTACTGATAGCAGTAAACACATCCTTGCACCCTTAGGAAACAGGAGGTCAAGGTTTACATCCAGGTAACCCTCTACTGTGTTAAGGAGTCTGGGCAGCAGACAACAAAGGTAGAGGTCCTGGTCTCAAATGCTTGCTCTTTTCCTACCTGTAAGTTTTTCTTTTGCCAGAAGTCAGTTTTGGTACTGTTAGCTGTCACCTGTATGAATTCTTCTCAGTTAGTGCTTGTACGCATAGAGTCAACAAACACTTCAAAAACATAGAAACAATCTCAGGGCTGATGCGGGGTGGGAGTGGGGCAGCTATTAAGACTATTTTATAAAAATTAAAAGGTGACATTAGCTATTCAAGCAATATTCCATACAGATTGCAATTATATATTGACGTGGGAAATTTTTCCTGAACATTCTCTAAATGCTGATGGAAAAAGTCTCCCGCAGGTACCATCTTAGAAGAGGCCATTAGTTTCATCTCGCTGCCAGCCTTAACGGTAGAGTAGAGTCCAGTGTTTTCCCCTCGTTTCTGGTGGGGCTCTATCTAGGCTGTCTATCATCTGTCTCAGAATCCAAACCAAAGGAGTAGGGACGACTGACTTCTGCAGTCTAGAGATGAAAGCAGTTTCTGGATCCTAAGCACTCACTCACTCCAGTATGTCAACAGGTAGTTTGTTTGGGATACCTCAGTAAAGACCATAGCACCAGCTGGCCCGCTGATCCCCAGTTTCAAACTTTTCTTCCGGGCACTTTAAGGGCACCGAAATTCCCTGCAGCAGAAAGCCACGGGTGGGAAAGCAAGTGGCTGCGGGCACTGCCCCCACTGGGAGGAGGTGGCTCTGTTGTGTTGAGGAAATCTCTCCGACTTCAGGGTAGTAGTTCTCAGGAACCCCCAGGGAGAACCAGAACAAAATCACTCGGGAGGGAGGAATGCCTTAGATTCTTTACTGATTCCACCCTAGCTACTTCAGTTCTAGTGACCTGGTCTTGATCTTGAAGGCCTCCCGGGAGGCTGGGGCAGGAAGCCACAGATACGGAAAGAGTTTGTGGTTTAGAAAATACATGGGCCCAGACGTGGCCGCCCAAAGGTCCTTAGGAAACAATTTCTCCTACTTGAAAAGTTTTCCTTCGTGAACCGAGGGGTTCTGCAGTCTTTTCTTCAGGGAATGTTCCGTGGGTTCAGTGCCTGGCGCACCACGAGCAGGGGGCGGAGAGCAGCTGATGTTTTAAGTTCTAGAGAGCATTGACCCAGACAGTCCTCTCCCGCTGTGACTGTAGGGATGACCCTCGCATTCCGTTCTGGATGCGTCCAGTCGTCTGTCCCCAACAGTCCTTCCAGCCTTCCGGATCTCAGAAACCACACTTTTAAAAGCCCAGCCCAAGATACTCGCGTGACGTGGAATCCAGAACCGCGGGCTGGGGCTCCGCGCGTGGGCCTGGAGGAGGCGGTGGGGATAACCAGGCTGAGCACGCTGCATCCTCGAGTGCCTGGGATGTGGCATTGTGGGGTGGCCCGGCGGGGGCCATTGCCGGTGCACGGATTCCTGCGGGTTCTTAGGAGCTGCGACCACAGCGCGTCCCCACTCTTGGTGCAGGTCACACCGGGAGGGAGTCCGAGCTATCCTAGTCTTCAGGACTAATGGACCCCTGGGACGACCTTCATCTCACTACACCATGAGATCTTAGAAAGTCTGGTCTTGCTATGGTTTTGATAATAAAGCATTTCAATTTAGAAACAGACCTTGGCCAGGCTCTGGCAGGGTCATCCTCCTGCAGGGACAGGTTTGGGCGTGGGAGGAAAGGGAGTTCCGAGCGCTGGAGCCCACTGGAGATCCATTCCAACCCAGGGACGATTCCTTCAGTGACGCGGGGGAGGGGGGGGGGGGGACGGGGAAAGCAGCGCGCTAAGGCGGGTGGAGGGTGGCCGGTCCTGTGCAATGCTAACTGACTACTTGGGCGTCTCCAGGCTGGGAACATCTTTGCACAAAGCGCAAAGGGGAACCGCAGAAAAGCGGAAAAGAGGATCTTTCTCTTTTTGATTTGCCTCTAAACTCTCAGATTGCTGCTGGCCACCAAAGGGGTGGTACTGTGGGGACCAAGAGCCCAGGGGCCAAACGGAAGAAAGCTGCCCACCAAATGCTGGAAGCTACCAAAGTCTGAGTTTAGGAACTTTCCAGAAGGTCCCACAACACCCTCAGATTGGAAAGCGTTGAGGTAGTAAGTGAGGCAGGCTGTAGGGGTTCTGGGCTATGGGATGTAAACAACGAAGTGTAGACTTCTTGCTCTGGGTGGGGAGCTCGGATGATTTTTTTCTGCTCAGAGCAGTTTTCCCCAAAGCTGCCCGCTTATTGACCCAGCATCTAAAATCCTGCTTCTGGAAGTCATAGGTGATGGGCGTTCCCTTGTATCCTGAAGCTGTATCACTGTTACAAAGATTTCTCAGAAATTATTTATAAAGAAAAGGCCTAGAAAATACTAGGGTTTTTTTGTTTTTGTTTTTTTTTTGTTTTGTTTTTAGTATACGCAATAGCCGTTTATTTTCCAAGAATAGATTCACTGGTTCAAACTGATCTCCAGTCATCCTCCAGTTTACCTCAGAAAAAATTAAATCAATTTTAGAAAAACAGTGCATAAACTCAGCGTTATGGGGCACGCTAAGAATTCTGGAAACTGAAATAGTAAGCTCGCTAGTTCCAGGCCACCAAGAGCTGCACAGTGAAACTCACCTTTCAGAAACCTTTTAAAAAGTGCTGGGTGGGGGTGAGAGAGAACGGAAGTTATATTAATTCTTTTCCTTCTAGAAGTTTCGTTAGAATTAAAACTATAAGATAAACTGTTGCTCTTAAATATTTGGAATTTTAAAGCCCGTATTTAAAATGTGTCATCTCCGACCGATACCTATAGTGGATATAAATCATAAAAAAATTACGAGATAAGAATGTAAAGTTTTTAAAAATTCTATTTATGAAAGCGAATAACGAGACATGGTAGGAAATAAGCTATGTAGCGTCCTAGTTTCGTATTTTATTCAATCTGTCTAACTAGGCTTAATTTCAACACTTCCCGCTGGAGTATATACAAGAAATGTTATGAAATTACTCTGCTTGCATTACATACAGGTTTCAGGAAGATGGAGCATGCACGCATTAGCATTCGGCACTGGGAACACTTGCAGTTCCTAGGGAATGCAGATAGCGATGCTTTTGTGTTGTAGGCTGTTTTGTTTTTATTAACAACAAAACACCTCACTCACATTCATAGTCATAGGTCCCCGGGAAGTATGTAAATCGGGAAAACCGTGGAAGCCACAACCGAAGTGGACAAGGCGGGACTTATAGTCTCAGGAATTACCCGGGTTTGGGTCGTCAAGCGAGCAGAACACGGTTGTAACAATTTGGAAGGACTTAGTGCGCACTCCGCTGCTGGTTTTCCACACACAAACCTAGCAGGAGGGTGGTGCAAACCTAGAAAGCGAGCGGTTCCAATCTGTCACTTGGCTCTAGGTATGCCCAGGCGACTCAGCCTGGAGGCTGGGCTTGGGTGCTGCTTAAAATGCTGGCAAGGTCCCCTCTCTTTCTGAAAGAGCGGCCAGGGTTGTCAGCCTACAGTCCCCAGCTGCAGGCTGTTGCCTCAACAGCGCTGCAACGGTGGACAGGTGCCGGCCTAGCCGCATGCCTTTACCCGGAGCGCAGCTAATGGCACAGTGATGCTGTTCCTGCTGCTGCTGCGGCGGCGGCAGCTGCTGCTGCAATATTGTCCGGGAAGCTGCAGACACGTGAAACAAAGGGGAAGCAGCCTGGGGGTGCAGCAGGTACGGTGGGTGCTGCAGCAGGTGGCAGTAGCTCCATGGAGAGAAGGGCTGACTCTGCGCAGACCCAGTTCCTCCCCCTGTAACCCCCTGCATGATGCTCTCGATGGTGAACGAGGAGCACCCGCGTCCGGACTGGGATCCAGAGCCCTGGTCTCCCTCCCAAGGCTGGGAGCCCAGTGCGGGCTGCAACGCGGGGATGGCGACGGGATTAACGGGGTCCGTGCCTTCGGCTTTTCTAGGCGCGTCCGCATAGGCCGGGGCCGCGAGCAGCAGGTAGCGGAGGGGATGCGGATGCAGCGGCGCGCACGGTCGGCTCCCAGGCGGAGTGGCAGGATGAGCTGCGAGGTTAGGCTGCGGCGGGGCAGAGTAGCGGAGCAGGAGGCTGGGCTGGGAGACATGCAGGGTGGCGGGCACGGCGGGTGAAGGGAAGAGGCAGTGCGGGTGGCCTCCCGGGGGCGGGTGGTGGCGCTTGAAGCGCTTCCTGCGCCGGAGGAAGCTGCCGTTGTCGAACATGTCCTGGGAGGCGGGGTCCAGGCTCCAGTAGTTACCCTTGCCCGGGTGGCCTGGCTCGCGGGGGATCTTGACGAAGCAGTCGTTGAGCGACAGGTTGTGGCGGATGCTGTTCTGCCAGGCCGGGAACTTACGGCGGTAGTAGGGGAAGCGGCCGCTGATGAAGGCGCAGATGCCGCTGAGCGTCAGGCGCTTGTGCGGGCTCTGCAGGATGGCCATGGTGATGAGAGCAATGTAGGAGTACGGGGGCTTGGAGGGCTGCGGGCCGTCGGCTGTGGTGGTCGCCGGGGTCCGCGGCGCTCGGAACTTGCGGAGGAACCCGGAGGAGTTGCTCAGGTCGCCGCGGTCCCCCGCGCTCCTCTCTGGAAGAGTGCGGTCTCCGGGCCTCTGCAGTGATCGCTCCAGGCACTTATGGCTCTCCTCCTCCTCACCATCATCATCTTCCGTCTGATCTCCATCTTCCTCCTCTGCCAGCACGTCGATCTCCACCTCATCCTGGTCGGAGCTTAGAGGACTGTGCGGCGGAGTGGAGCGAAGGTGCCCAGTTCTTGCTAAGTTCATGGAGGATAGGAAGGAAGAGGGAGAGGAGGGGACGGACGTGGGGGCAGCTCACCTGGTTTGGGGTGGGTGGGTTAGCAGAGATGAGCCTGCTAGGAAACTGGAGCACTCCTACGCTGTTCTTTCTGCTTTTTCTTTCTAACGCCTGTGTGGCAATGTGCACTTGGTGATCTAAGTTTCTCTGAGAAGTGCGCAGTGCGCTTCCCTCTATATATCCTTCTTTCCTGTTCCTCGGAGTGGAGCCACTTCCTCCTGACGCGGTCCAATGATGGGGGTCCTTGGTCCCTCCTCTTCACACCCATCCACTACCGAGGAAGGTGCTCAAGAGTTGGTTTAACCAGACAAAGTGCTCTGGCGTTGCTTGGGCTTTGTTAATGTTGCTCTAAAAATGCATAAATAAAAATCAAGAAGGAAAACATGATACCCAACGACGTGTGACCACATCGACATTTAGACCTCCCCAGTACTGACTTTGGGAAAGAGTAAATAGGATGTACCTTAAGTCTGAACGGCACACTGACTTAAAGCTATATGCCCCCATACTAAAGAAGTGGCGCCTTGCCTTTACTGAAGCTCCACCAAATAATCCCCTGACTCAGTTCCCTAAAAACTAAAACATCCTAGCGTTAAGCAGTGTGGGTTTTAAAGGGAAAAAAATAGAGAGTACTTTCTAAGTCCCTTTTTCTTCAGCTTCTTTTTAATATTTAGCCAGAGAAACAATGATGCAGATTATCTTTCACATTCAAACAGGTGTGCCTAGAAAAGGCTTCAGAAAGCAATATACTTGCATTTCTTTCATAGTCTTTACCAACTACATTGGTTTCACTACAAAAATAGTTTCTCCAAAGTAGTTTTATAAAAGAAGGAAAGCCCTCACTATAGAGTGCACCTGCCTGCTTGCCTTGTTCCCTACCCCAACCCATCCCGAACAGAAACACAAATGCTTTACTGTAATAATAATAAAGTTTGAAACTAAAGTGAGGAAGGGCCCGGAGTCCCTGACACTGGATACACCGGGGTCCATGGTGAAGCATCCATACGACAGAGCAGGATTTGTTTAAAGGCTTCGGGATACCTAAGCTTTTAGATTGGTTTCACGTGAGTTAGCCCAGCAGCTAAAGTAACAATATGGTAGAGTATATTTGTTACATAAATAGGGGTTGCATGGCAAAATAAAAAGCCAAGATACACATTGGGGGAAATTGAGAGGTTGAATCTAAAAAGATACAACTGGAGAGGATGAAGGTTGTGCCACCTTCAACATTTGTGTTTGTAAGTGATTGTGACCTTTATTGAGAAATCAAAAGCTGACTACCAAAAATAGCTCCACACCTTTAGGATTAAAGCAGTTTTAAAAAGCTAGCATCTTTTGGAGGGCAGCTCCCTTGCGAGCCTTTGAGTTAAGCTTTAGTGCTCTGTGGAGGTTTTTACCCTCCAAGGCGCTCTATTGTGTGCAGCTTGAGGTAGGACAAACAACAGATCTGAGCCTGACAGATTTGTGTTTAAATCCAAAATTGACCAATGACTATTTGTGCGATTTTAAACTGCAGGAGGGCCGGCAGGTGTCTCATTCAATCTGCTGGCCCCAGATGCTGCCCTCACCCCCTGCTGGAGAGACTCCGTTCCCCTTCTCTGATTATCTGTGTGAGTGAGAGGATTGTTGGTTTTCCTAAAGTCAACTGCTATGGGGATTTGGGTTATTTACAAATGAAAGGGTGTAAGAATGAGCTCAAAAAACAAAACAAACCCCCCACATTCTGGGTCTAATCTCAAAGGTAACTCAGGAGCCCACTAAAGAGCTGTTCCCTGTGGCCAGTGCTGGGGCAACCAAAGTAGCTGGTTATAACTCAATGTCTAAAATGTATTTGTGTGTTCATGTTGTGAAGAATAACTGATTAAATCAATGAAGGACATGTCTTGCAGAATTTCAAATAACTTGAGATGGGGTCTAATTCCCAGCTACTTACATGTGATTTTTCTCCCCAAAAGTACAATAGAGAAAGGGACAGGGTAGCCTTTCCTGAGGAGAAATTTAACCAAACCTCAGCCAGGAGATGAAGGCCAACCTCAACTACCATGCAGCATATTGATATGTAGTTGCTTGATGTGATGACAATGGCAATCCAAAGCCTAACTATAAAGGACACGTCCCAATTGAAGAGCATCTGTGTGCCTGCCAAAGGCACAAAAACACAGGATAGCTAAGGCACTGTCATAGTCTACAGCAACCTAAGGAGAGTGCAATGTTCTATCCTGGATGTGATTCTCCAACAGAAAAAAAGAATATGATATATGGTTTCCAAATAATCTGAGCCCGTGGCAATGTTGGCTCACTAACAGTAACAAATGTCCCACAGCATGCTGAGATGTTGGTGTGTCTATCAATCTCAACTTTAACACATCCAAGGGCTGGGTGTTGAATAAACAGTTGGTAAAGTGCTATGATCTGCGTGCTCAAGGTCTCCAGCTGGATCCCCAGAACCCACATAAAAGTGCTAGGCATGGTGGCACACTTGTAATCCCAGAGCTAGGAAGATAGAGACAGGAAGGATCTCTGAGTAAGAGAAGCAGAGAGGCCGGGTTGGGGGTGGGGTGGGGGTGGGAGATGGCATCTGAAGAACAATAGGCTGTCCTCTGGCCTCCACAAGTGCGCACACACATACAATTCTTAAAATTTACCCAGTTCTCGTGAATTAACCTATAACCTCAGCTACTCTAGAGCAGCTAGGCTATGAGGATTCCAAGTTCGAGACCTACTTGGGCTGTTAGGCCCAGCCTGGAAAATTTATCTCAAAGTAAATGTATCTCAAAGAGCTCAAAATTTGAGCTCTTATCTCAAAGTAAAAAGAGGACTGGTATACTTGTTAGCTTTGTTTCTTTTTGTTTTTGTTGTTGTCTACTTGACACAACCTAAAGTCATCTGAGAAGAGGGACTGTCAACTAAAGAACTACTTTGACCAGACCTGTGGTCACATCTGAGAGAGATTGTCTTGATCGGTGACTGATGTGTCCCTGCCACACTTACTGTGGGGCAGGTGGGTCTGACTGTGTAAGGAAGCAAGCTTAGCACAAGCTAGCAAGCATCATTCTTCCATGATTTCTACTCCATGTTCCTTCCTTGAGTTCCTGTTCTGGATTCACTCAGGACTATCACCTGAAAGGTTAAGTTGAAATAAAGCCCTTCCCTTCTTTTGTACTTTGGGTCAACTGTTTGGCACAGCAAACTAGAACAGCTCAGTGGCAGAAAGCATGCTGGGCATGTGTGAAGTCCCACAGTCAATTCCCCACCATGCAGGGGATGCGGATGATTCAACAGAAAGGCCTAAAGGCCATAAGTAAGAACTCAAGGATCTGTCAGCTGATCAGTAGATACATAAAGTAGACACACGTCATAGTTGCATGCAGTGGTTTGAATAGGTTTGGTCCCCATAGACTCATGTGTTTGAATGCAGCCTGTGGATCAAGATGTAGAACTCTCAGCTTCTCCAGCACCATGTCTGCCTGCATGCTGCCATGCTTCCTGCCATGATGATAACAGACTGAACCTCTGAAACTGTAAGCCAGCCCCAATTAAATGTCTTCCTTTATAAGAGTTGCCTTGTGTCTCTTCACAACAGTGGAAACCCTAAGACACTATACAATGGAATATTACTCAGCAATACAGAATGAAGAACAGATACATATTAATTCAAGTGGGCCTTGAAGAAACATGTGAAGTTAAGTGAGTCTGAATATACCACTCTTCAGAGATTAGTGTAAGGGACATAGAAAGTACTTGTTAAGGGCCATAGGGCTTCTTTGGAAGTTAAGTATAATGTTCTGCAGTTAGATACCGAACCGTGGGCTTAGTGTGTGAACTGTATACTTTAGTAAAAGTGTCAATTGTATGGGACTATGAATTGAATAAAACAAAAAGCAATAGCAATGAGAACTAAGTGGAATGCCCTGGGGAAGGTCCACTGTGGCTCCTCATTCTAAAGAACGAAAGGACTCTTACTCTTCAACCCGTTGATATTGCTTTAAGCTTTCTGTCGTCCATTAGAGCTCCTGGACATTTGAAGGGAGGCCCAGAACTGTGGGAATTCAATAGTGCTTGGTGATCACCTCTCTCCAAAGACTAGTTTTGCTGTAACTGTTTTTTTTAAAGATTTATTTATTTATTATATTTATATGAATACACTGTAGCTGTCTTCAGACACACCAGAAGAGGGCATCAGATCCCATTAAAGATGGTTGTGAGCCACCATGTGGTTGCTGGGAATTGAACTCAGGACCTCTGGAAGAACAGTCGGTGCTCTTAACCACTGAGCCAACTCTCCAGCCCTGCTGTAACTGTTTTTCCAGAACAAATACTAGTTTTTAAAACAGCCTCATTTTGAGAAAACAACTCAGCATGTTAAGACAGAATTCACTTTCTTCAACACCACGCCCACAAATATAAAGCATTTCTAGACGTAGAAAAGTCCTTTCAAAGCAATTTAAACATACAGTTTTTCCACCTAGACTAGAAAGCTAAAGGGGCTAATTACCCAACTCACAGATTGTCACCAAGCCTGTACTATCATGAAGTATTATTGCTCATCATGGCTCTAGACGCCTTTAGATTTTTTTGATCACTGCCCTCAAAATTCAGTCTAGGGATTAAAGACCCTAAGGATATACTTGATTTAACTAAATTTCTATCCAAACATCCATGAGAAGACTTACACGGTCTCTTATTTTGGATTTGACACTGGAGATTGAACTCCTTCTGCACATTAAGCACACGCTCTACTACACAGCTACAACCCCAGACCCCAAAAGCCATTTTTTAAAAAATACTATATAAATTAGCAAACCACCACAAAAGAAATCTGGGTTTCTAAGAAGGGAAGATGGTTAAGAGTCCTCAAGTCAGCTTAGGTGAGTAATTTAGAAGGTCTTTTCTAGCTTGGACATTGACAGCCACCCAAAGGGGAAAGAAAACCAGAAGCCTGAAACTCCAAGGTTTTCCCAAAGTGCCA